TGATCTTGAGCTAAAACGCAATAAAGTCAGCTGGTTGATTTGCAGGGGGGACCAGAACCCAGCTGCATTTGAGTACTCATCACTGCAGTTAGAAATGAAAAGTTAACTGAAGCAAGACTGATCAATTTTATTTATTTTTATACTGGTGGTAAGGAGACTTTGGAGATGAACAAATAATATCTTGAACTCCCTACACGCTTCCATGCTAATGGATGAAGATTGCGAGGCAGAAGGAATAAACAATCTGCAGTTGAAAATACAGTGCATTTTCACTCTGTTGCCCTATGATTATGGGCTTGCATGAATCAACATCATTGACAGGTATGGTTGATGTTCAACCACTCACCTGAAGTTATGACGCCACGTAGGATAAATTTAGTGTGCCGGGTGAGCATCTATCTCTGTAAATAAATCTGCATATTTACATTGTATTCACAAGCTTTGTTTCTATCTTTCCTTGAAAACAAGCAATGTGTTAGAATAGGATTTAGATTTTTGTCTGTAATGTACGCTGGAATAAAAAAACCTTGGGAAACATGAAATTCTTCTGGGAGCAAACCTGCATCACCTAATGCTCTTGTATCCTCTCCTTTCTTCTTCAGCCTCACCTAGTAGTGGCCTGTGACTTAGACAAAGCAGTAACAGGCGTCTTGTACAAGCCACTGTTTCTGTAACACTCTCCTCCTTTTCTTTTTCTCTTTAGAATGGCATCAAACACAGCTTATTGTTTTTGAGTCACTTCTTGCTGCTTTTCTGACCTGACATGTCCCACTTAAAAATTCATGCGTTTAATTTACATTTCAGGACGCTTTTCCTATATTGGTACTGCACTGTGGGTAGGGAGCTTAGCCCCTCTGGATGAGAGCAGTTCATCACAGTTTGGGCCAAACTCCCTATTGCAAGCAGTGTCCACGCAAAATTTGAGATGCCATTCATTTTTTAATCCTAACAGCCTCTGTCAATATGTTCACAGTATGTTTAAATGAATATGGACTGTGTTCAAAGGCAAAATGGATGCAGCTGTTACAAATTTACTAAATGTTAGTAATAACTTAATAAAAATACATTTGGGCAATTTGAGAAGTTATTTTTGGATATGAGACTCACAGTCCCATGGGATGTCTTTATATTCATGGTCGACATGTAATTAAGACTACAAAAAGACTTAGAAATGTACACATTTGCATAAAGATCTTGATGAAGGGAATTTTTTAATTGCATTTTTATCTCATGAAATTTATTCTCAATGAATAAGTAGCTTCATATCTGTTACGGTGAGAAGAATGAGTTTTTTTAGTGAGCATATACTAAGAAATCTTTACCAAATCCTTTCTAGATTTGATGTTGCTTCTGAAGTCTTTTCCCTCCACAAGATAGAGAAAAATCAATGAAATATGTAATGAATTCAGATATGTCTATGACGAAATTAATATGAATTAGGCAAACTCTTTTGTGACAGGATTTTCCCACTTTGTGTCCTATTTTTTGCCAATTTGTAACCATCTGTCTCCTTTGTTATATGTTTGGTGAACCCCCAACTTCTTATTAGAAAGCAAACAATTGAAAAAATAGAATTTTATATTATTTCTGCAACCTAGATATGCTTTGATTTAACGAGATCATGAAACTGCACCCATAAGATTCAATAATCCTCCTCCTTTCATGTCTAGAACTAGTAGAAAAATACATTTAGATGATAAACGTATATTTTCCATGCAGAAGTTCAGGCTATTTTGAGTAGAGGCTTCTATGAAATGAGGATAAATTACCTACCTTACTTTAAGACCAGATAGAACATTTTAGCTTTGGACAGTGACCTTAGTACTAATCATCCCACTGTCACAAAATCCAGTATCAGATTTTAATCAATTTTGAAATTGAAAAAAATGAACCATTTAATTGTAGGCTGTGATAAATCATTTTGTCCAGTCTTGTCTGGCCTTATGAGGAGCCTGCTGGTGGTAGTTCAGTTTTGTGCATGATGTTTTTCCTTGTTGTTTGGCTTCTTTTTGGTTTGGTTTGATTTGGTTTGGTGTTCTGTTCTGTGTGTATGTGTATTGTTTTTACTGCATCCCAAGCTGTCAGCTGATTTGCAAGGTTAACCAATTTTTCTGCTTTAAAATGTGTGGGGTGGGTGCTAATACCGTTTGCACAATACGTAGCTTTAGGGATTGCACCAATGCAGTTAAGCAGGATGATTTATTTCTTGTGCAGTACATGAACTAATTTGCAGATTATTCCTTCCTGTGCTTCTGTAAAGGACTGTTAAAGTTATATGTAAGCTGAGCCAGAATTCCTATGTCTGGCAGTGCTGATGGAGAAATTTATGGAAGGCTGAAGGGAAGCTTTTAATGCAATACATCATACAGTGTTTTTTAATCCTTGTTTTATTTAACTGATATTGATAACATCACAGAACCACAGAATCACAGAATGGCCAGGGTTGGAAGGGACCTCAAGGATCATGAATCTTCAACCCCCCTGCCACATGCAGGGCCACCAACCTCCCCATTTAATCCTAGACCAGGCTGCCGAGGGCCCCATCCAATCTGGTCTTGAACACCTCCAGGCACAGGGCATCCACAGCCTCTCTGGGCAGCCAGGTGTTCCAGCACCTCACCACTCTCTCTGTAAAGAATTTCCCCCTGACATCCAACCTAAGTTTTCCCTTCCTTAACTTAAAATCATTTCTCCTTGTCCTGTTGTTATCTACCCTTTCAAAGAGTTGATTCCCATCCTGTTTGTAGGCTCCCTTAGGTATTGAAATGCTACAATGAGGTCACCCCTCAGCCTTCTTTTCTCCAGGCTGAACAAGCCCAGCTCCCTCAGCCTGTCTTCATAGGGGAGGTGCTCCAATCCCCTGATCATCTTTGTGGCTCTCCTCTGGACCCTCTCCAACAGTTCCCTGCCTTTCTTGTACTGGGTGTTCCAGACCTGGGCAGAGTGCTCCAGATGGGGCTTTACAAGAGCAGAGTAGAGGGGGACGGTTACCTCCCTGTCCCTGCTGGCCACCCCTCTTCTGATGGAGCCCAGGATACTGTTTGCTTTCCTAGCTGCAAGGGCACACAGCTGGCTCATGTTTTTAAAATGGATGCTTTATTAAGCTTTTCATCTATCAAGACCCCCAGGTCCTTCTCCACAGGGCTCCTCTCACAGAACCGCTCCTTCCAGTCTGTATGGATGCCTGGGATTCCTCCAGCCCAAAATATATGCTTTCATAGTCTATATTATGAATATGATTTTGTATGGAGCATCAGTTGCTGTTTACATGTTATATTGATAAGAAATGCAGTGAGAGAAGGACCAAGATTTCTGTATTTGTTGGGTTAACATTCTGAAAGACTCCTCCCTTATGTGCTGAGAGAAGTATTCTGAAGTGCTGTGGCTGTGTTTGATGTTTAAATGTGGAAAAGAAATGGGTTACATTGAGAAAAGCATGACAACATTTAGAGAAGATATCAATAAATACAGAAGTCATGGTCATTTGCTCTTCTTTTCTTATGAAATCAGGAATTTTCATTTGATGGCTTCCCCCCCCCTTCTAAGAGAGGTGAAGTTTAATCTGTACAGGTGACCATGGTCTTTAGATTGGCTGCAGCACGTAATGTCTTCTTCCTTATCAGGCAATATCAGGGGAAATGTGGAAAAAAAGAGCAGCTGAAGACTGGGGACATGCAGTTCTCAGTCATTAACAATGCTTGAGAAACTATTAGTAATTGAGCATGAAACAGATTTGGCTTCAGTTCAGTTACAAATGCCTGTCAACAACGTGAAGCAAGCTGCATCCTTCCACCTTGCTTGGCGAATGCAGACTGCTTCTGAGAGCTGGCACTTAGGGTCTAGCACTACCACCATGCATGTGGAGCCACTGCCTCGACCATGGTCTCTGCTGCACTGCCACTGTTATGCAGAGGAGGTGCTGACAACCAAAAATGAATTCTTTCTTCTTTTCTTTTGGCTGGTAGACCGATGAATCAATTATTCCCACAGATCTAATGATAGTTCATAGAATGTATATTTTTTCAGAAAATAAAGTTATTGCCTCAGCTGTCAATTCCCTTTGGTCTTAACCTTTCAAAGTGAAATTGCGAGTGTTTGTTCTCTCAAAGCTTTAAAATTGTTCACCAAAGTATGAAACGACTGGAAAGTAGTAATGAATCTGGCTTTTAATCAGTCTCCTGACATAAAAAGACATTGGTTCCTGTGTAATTGCTGTACATAACTACAAAAATTAGGTTTCACTGCTTTGTTGGGCTCCTCAGCTTTAGAACTTGTTTCCTTGATGCAGCCACAGGCTGCACAGACTGCTGCTAGAATCACTCGCCTTCCAAGGCACAGAGTGAACTTCGGCGCTCACGCTGCAGGACCGGCCGGCCTCGGTGTGAGGCACAGCCCGCGTGGAGTGCTGCTTGCACGAGGGCTGCCAGCAGGGTGTGCTGAGCAGGTGGCAGGGAGGAAGAGCACTGCAGTGGTTCTGTGCCCTGCAGAGACCCCTGTGCAAGTAAGTCCATGTGGGGCAGGAAAGGCAACTGAGGCACAGGCAGCACCCCAGCACAGCTGTTTCGGGTAATAGCTCTGTTTGTCTGTTTAAACAACTCTAGAATGTTGTCAGAAATAATTAGTTTTCAAAGGTTAGCAGTGTTTTTCACTCTGTGAGTTCTGTGAACGTTTCTTAAAGTGACAGGATATTTTCCTAACACAAAGAGGAGGAAGGAAGAGCGTCCCTTGTGAGCAGGGCCCTGCTGTTGGCCTAACTGAGGGCTGCAGGAATTGGCCCAGCCTGTGCCACGCTGGACCCAAGCCCTGACCTCTGGGAGGAGGCACTGGGCTCAGGGAAAAGACCTTAACGGAGTTCCCTTAGCTCCTGGAGTCCTAGTCAGTTAAAACACATCTCTGTGTATTGGGTAGTGTACCAAAAGTGCAGCTGTGTGTGGCTGAGGCTTAATTACTGTTGCTGTTTAAACAAGTCAAACACACCAGTACAATTAGTGCATGTTGAAAGGAGGGCGGGAGTTGATTGGCCGACACACAGCTGACATTGAGTACATCGTTGGGACTAACAGTAGAGTCATGTCTTCCACAGGAGTGTCGTATGTACTTCAAGATAGATATATTTAAAAATGTGGATATTTCACTGAATAACTTCTATATCTGTAACATGCTCACTCTTTTTGTGGTGTATGTTTGTTTTTAATGAAAAGTATCGGGTTAGAAGACAATTGTACTACTATTATTTTGTAACTTTTCTTCTGCCATGTTTTCAGGTCTTTGTGATGTAACTTGCTACCTGGCAGTCATTAATCTCACTGACAAAGGGATGCCGAAACCTTCTCAATCCTTTTCTGATAGGTATGTGCAAACAGATATTACAATAACCTTTCTGTATGTGTAAGTAGTCAATACCCTCAAAATTGTAGTTGGCTGATCTGATCTAGCAAAAGCTCTTGACTGCATTGTAAATTGCAAAAAACTTCATGCCGAATACTTGAAAATAACGTTCATCTTCAGTTATTTCAAATTCATTTAGATAGAGGGAAGTTACTTTGAAAATGAACAAAGGATTTCGGCAACGTAACTGTGCAATATTATTAAGAAAATAATCATTATTGTATATGCACAGATAAATGCCTGTGCATTTTTTTAAAGCATATAAAAATGAAAGTTTTTATGAATGTTCTTTGCCTAATGTACCATATTCCTGTTAAATAGTGTTTTTTTTTTTTAATTTGATTAATTAAGTTATGTATTGGGATAGTAGTTCAGTTAAGTGTTTCTAATGATCTGAAGTATTTGTATTTATCCATATTCTCTATTTGGCTATCTCAGACACTCTCATGAGCATTAGTAAATTAAACTCAGTCCTGTGACAGGTAAGAAAGAAATAACACTCATTTTTTATAACTGAGGTCTGAAATTAGAGCAAGGAGAGATATATGTGTTGTCATTAATAGTAAAACTTGTGTTTCTGGAAGATATTGGCAAAATTTGATTACGATACTGCTGCACAAATGTGTTTGTGGCACAGTGGTGAAATTTAGTGGCTTATTAATGGCTGAATGTTAAGATGGTGACAGAATCAGGGATAGAATTTAGAAATCCTGACTCAGGTTGTCACTTTAAATACAGTGGTGTGGTCCTTTTTCTTGGTTTGGAGTGTTATAATATATGTTATATATATGTATGTATAATATAATATATGTAATATGTAGTATGTATAATATTATATATATGTATAATATATGTAATAATATATAAGATTGGTAATTCAGGTGTTAATGTCTGGATAGCAATTTCAAACCAAGGAAGGCTCCTTTTGATTAATATCCATTAAGAAAATGTGTTGGGAGAAGGTTGTAGGAATGGATCATGTGCTGAATTTCTTGAATACATATCGGGGAAAAAAGTGAATGTTACAATTTCTCATGGAAATTGTTTGAATCTCTAAATGATATAGATATATTTTACTTTAATTTATGTAGTAGTATATGTTTCAATTGTTAATACTCTTCTATATACACTGGCATTTTTGTATATTTTTGGTTTAGTACTGTCTGGCATGTAATTTGGATGAGGCAAATTGTAACCACAACCTGCTGGGTAAATAAAGAAGCTGGCTTTTCTGATAACAAATGCTCTCATGTGCCAAGTTCTTAGCTCCAACATGCCTTATACCATGAAAATTCCCAACTCTGTTTGTGCATAGCGAAGTGTAATACCCTTATCTGACTAGAGCAGATTTAGCCAGGAGAATAATAATATGCTTCATGCTTCTGTAAAATAGCCTTTTTCCTTTTTTTCCCTTGTCTTTGCTTTTAGAAAGGGATTTTTATTTTATTTTATTTTAAGTTTAGAAGGCTTATTTTATTAATTTTGATAGCCAGAGTCCTTTCTGTGCACAATGTGCAGGAGGAGATGTGTGGAGATGAAGATGGCTGCCCTATGCTCACAGGATGAATCTACTGGAATTTGTGGAGACTGCATCCACAACTAAACCTGGGAATCTGATCTAGAAAGATAATGCTTACTAGGCAAATAAACCACACAGATTGTAAAATCAATTTTTAATTCCATATCTTTTTAATTATTTCCCTAAATGATATTTTGAGTGACAAATCCCCGTATTGAAAATGGATCTGTCTCTTTTTTTCCAATCAGAAACATTATAAGAGCTGCTGCTTATCTTTACTGCAACTTTGGATGACATGAGAAGGCCAAGTGATTGCAACTTGCTGAAGGCAAGTAGCCATTTCTGATCAGTGCATATTCTGATACCCTAAATAGAATGTTTCTGCTAAATTCCATTACTGAATAATGTTGTTCAGCAGCACCATTCCAAGGTGCTCCCTTTTCAGCCATCCTGGATTTCCCCACCAGTTCTCCCCACGTGTCCCATGAATGGCAGGACACTCCAACACTTGGGCAGTAATCTTCAGCACCATGGCATCTGAATTTCTTCTCAGACCCGACCTGAGTTTCCTGTCTGTTGTTAGTATTTACTGTATTCTTCAGGCCAAACTACTGAGTCTGTTTTTTGTTATTTCTTGCCTTCTCCTTTCCCTGTCTGCTAACTGCAGGTGGCAGCTATTTCCAAGAGCCTTGGGAAACGTCATTTAGACAGTCCCTCTCAATATCCCATCCATTTTAATGGCAGGACCACACTCTGCTGGATCCTGGCAGACATCAGGAAGGGTTCTGGAATATCACAGAACATCCTTTCCTTGGTAGTAAGAAACATTAGTTCATCCTGGCAGACAGACCTCAGCACCAGAGGCTTAGAAGTCTTTCCTACTAGTCATATGTATGGTATGGGACAAAGTGCTTCTCTGTCCTGTACATGCTATGCAGTTGCCTATGAGTGTAGATGCAAAGGTATCAACATTAAAAAGTTAAAAAACAGAAAATGAAAAACACAAAAAGAAATTACAACTGAATAAACATAAAAACAACTTTAAGAATAAAACTACTAAGGATTGCCCTACTATCATTTCAATGATTGCAAAATACTTGAGCTGCTTAGATGGTTTAGCAGTCTTATAGACACCTCTACATCTTTGCAAGTTAGGCCTTTGTTCACTTAGTTGGCCATTCTATTTCTAATTTCCTGGCAATAGAAATAGTTGTCTATTGTTTTCTACTTCACAGAGTGACTTCAAGGAAAAATAGATCAAAATGTTGTGCTGTGATTCTTCAGTAACTTTACAAGCATTTTGACTGTAGGAGTATATCTGAAGCATAACACTTGGAGTGTTATTGTTGGCCTTATTGAGAGGTTTAGGCTCTGTAATGACATGCCTCGAATGGAGACTGCTGCAGCTTTCTCAACACAGCACATGGTTCCACCTTGTTGCCGGATCTAGCACAGAGTTGTTTGTGTTTATTGAAGAGCCAACAAAGAGCGTATTGTACTCTGAAGACATTCTTGTTTTCAGTTCTTCGTGGTAGAACTCACGTCTATTCTTTTTATAGACTACAGTGTGTATACTCATATCTTCCCCTGCTTATGTGTGGTGGATAATATTACACTGGAAAAGCAGTATTTGTTTGGGTTTTGATATAAAAATCAAATTTGTGTAAAATAATGACTTCTTTATTTATACTTTAATTGATGACTAAACAGAGTCCTGCCAACCGTCTCTAAACCTGCTTTGTAGAACAAAAGCATATAGTAAATTGTTAATGTAGTGGAAGAATAAGGATTAAAATATACTTGAAAGGAGATAAATTCTTGAATTGCCTGAACAGACATGCTTGAGCTTTTGCTATTTAACTTTTTCAGCTACCTAACTTTACAGTCATTTTTTCAGAGTAAATGCTTATCTCCTTGTGTGCTGTAAAAAAGGCAAAAAGCAAGAAGTAATCATTATCACTGATTCAGTATCACATCATTCCTTCTAGACATGAATCAGAGTGATCAGGAGACCTAATATTTCACTCCAGAAATTCTGTAAGTATGTTCTACGTTGGTCACTTGAAAATGTTCTGTGGATAGCATTAATAGCTAAGTGTATAAAGATTTGTGTGCTTGTCAACCTATGAGGGCTTTTTGGGATTCAAAATGGGATTCAAATGGGATTCAAAATCCCATTTGTATATGGTGAAACTTGAAAAAGTGCTTTAAACAATCAACATTTCTAAACATGTTTGGTCAATTACTGTTGATATTGTGAATTTCGTTGATTGGCACTTAAAAAAAAAATTAGCAAACTGACAACCTCTACCTCTAGTAGCCATAACAGGGAAATATTTTTTTTATACCTCTGCAGCAGTGTTTCAGAACACATCATCAATTGAGTTAGAAACAATTAACTACAAAGTTCAAAATGTTTTGAATTGTGCAATAGTACTGCAGGGCAAAGTGACATGAAAATGTCACTAAACAAATGAAATAATTACTCAGGTATGCAAAAGCTTGATTATTTTCAGAAAGAAGGCATCTGAGCTCACCTCAGATCCTAATAATTAGAGCTCTTCATATCAGGTTGCTCTGGAAAGTAGTGTTTGAGACTAAAATGGTTTTCTTCTTAAATAAAATGGAATTAATTATCTAGTCTGTGCAGAGCCCTAGATAAATGTAAACTAGCTAGAACAATTTTAAGACAAAAAAGGTTTTTTTGCTGGGGGGAAAAAAGACAGAAGCCTACAATGAATCCGTGCATTAGACTTTCTAGTTTCGCTCTATTTCTTGGCTTAGAATGAGTATACAAAAAACCTGTTGAAAACTGACTCAAATATGTATGTACACAGGTTTACAGAAACTCTGCATTTGTGTTTGGTTTTGCTCCTAGCAGCAGTATGAGTTGCAGTCTGATTTCACCACATTCTGCAGAGTGTTCTGCTTTGTTTCTGTTGATGGCTGTTCTCTTTTGTGGTCCCATTCATTATGGCATTTTTAAGCTTCTAATGAAACAGTGAATATACTCAGGTGAATAATTCAGAACAGAGGAGTTCAGTGCTATGAGATGGAATATTCATTTTTCTTGTGTTGTTTTGATTATTTGTTTAGCTGTGGTGTTTTTTGTTTTGTCTTGGTTTTACTTAGTTTTTGAATTTAGAAATAGTTTTTACCTCCTAGTTTGAGAACAAAGCATATTGTATGAGTTGACTACCAAGAAGCTAGATCCTATGAGTCTAGACAAGTAATCTCAAGTCATTTGTAAATTAAGAGCTGAGGCAGGGAGGCCTAGCACCTTTATGTTTTTATTTATTCTAGCTATTTCTATGGTGTCTTTATAAGTACAGTGAAATTTGGAGTCCTGAAGGGACAAAGTTTGGGTCTACAGATCTCAATGATACATAATCTGTGCTGAGGCTGAGGCTGACCAAAGAAACTGGAACGTCCAGCAGTCCTGGCATTGTAGGGAGCCTTAAGAAAGCATCTCTGAATCCAACAGTGATGAAAATATCATTCCATTTTAATTTCCAGTTCTGCAGCCATTGCTAGCTGTATTTAGTAATAGAGAAATGACAGATTTCATTAGCTTCAGTGCAGATATTTGTGCTTTTAAGTAATGGTCAGGGTAATGATGAGATCAAAGCTTCATTGAATTGCATTAAAAAAAAATGATAGTCCATATAAAAAAAAAATAATACAACTTACATTAAATACCTTAAATAAGTGAATGTGTGATCTCTTAGGTAATGCCATTTTATAACACTGCCTCATTTGTTGCTGATTCTGCCCTTTTGCCAGGGTCAATTTCCTATGTAGATATATGGAGTGAATTTAAATATTTTATTAATTGGCCAATAGTACCATGTAACAAGCAGTATTTGATTAGTTAAAAAATTCATATTATTTCTTGGTATTTTCTGTGTGCTAAATAGAGGGTGCATATTTTTGAGTACCTTTTTGCTGTCTATTAATGTGTTAATGCTGTGAAGTGCTTGTTTAGGACCTTTGCAAACTGTCCCCATAAGACACGTTTGATTAAATCATATTAATTTGACCTTTTGGCAGACACTGTGATTCAGATGGCCTACTTAGAACTTGTTTTGAAACTAAACCTAGAGAATATTCCATCTTAACTCATCATAATTGTGTTCTGTAAGGTGATAGATTGTCAAGCAAGACACTTGCTAAAATGAAAGAAGTTTCTCCTAGCTGAAACCATACCAGCTGAAGCAATTATGAAACAGAATATAAGATGATTATCCTACAGGGAACCAGTTTTTGAACCTTGTTTTGACAGTGCTTGTTTTTTTTTTTTCCTGTGCTTTTCTGTCCTATTGGGAAAACTTTCTGCAACGTACAGGAGGAACACAAGAGTAGGTTCATGTGGGCTGTAGCTGAATCCTTCACTGTTTGTACACAGTCTGGGCTGTTTGGTACTGTGTCACTTCACTTACAGGCGTCCACTTGTGTGTAGAGCCTGCGTGTGTGTGTGCGTAAGTAAAGAAAACATACATATATCTTTTATGCAGGTCTCCACACTGTTTGGAGGCTTTTTGATGTCCTTGTCTGGTTTCTGAAAATGCCACTTGACTCTTAGGTCAACCCTCCAGCTAGTCTGAAGGGATTTGGATTTTGCTACAGATCTGGCCTGTGGCTTTATTTTGAATGGCAATATCAACTGATAGAAAAAAGCTCCTGCTTGATTATGGAGACATCATTCAGATATTAGACATTACAGTGAAATTGTGTTGGTGTTCTAAGAACTGATATAAATTAAATTGATTGCATTCTTTAGCTCTGCCCCTGCACTGCTGTTCAGTGTAACTGATTGAATCAAATCCTGGCATCCTATCGCAGCCTATCACTGGCCATACAGTGACCACAGTTGAGTTCCTCCAGGAGTCTGCACGCTAAATGCAGTTAAACATTCAGAAAGCCTTGTGTTAGTGTGGGAAACGATAAATATTTTATGCAAATAAGATGCAAACATTGTTATGAACTTTTTTGGTGACTGAATGCAGCAGGCACGGTAGTTGAGTAGGGGAGAAATGAGAGTTGGCAACAGGGCTCAGATGTGCTCTAGTGCACAAGCAGAGTGCCTCCAATGTCAGCTTCTATTGTTACTGAGGAAACTTTCATTTAAAAACACCAGTGTGCATCTTATATATCTTGTGGCAGGGAAATGGTAGGTCTGATGGACAGGAGAAAATATGAGCTGTGGTCAGGTTTATACTCAGCTAAATGAAAATGGATGGCAAACATCTGAAAAAGCCAGAACAAATTTTCCACTGGGTCAGGCTGGTGACCCTCCAGTGAGTTCAGTGAAGCCACATTAATTTGTGTAAACTGAAATTCTTCAGTGGATTTTCATAAATAGGAAAAGTAAGTGTTCAGTGGCCATGCAATGAGAAAATAAAAAGTTCTGCTTAAGAGTAGCAGAGGAAGCTATTCCCTGGGAAATGGAAAATCAAATGGAAAAGAAGCAGACTTAACATAGCTCTGTGGCTGAGATCTGGATTACAGCTATCTGCAGATGCAGGTAATGCAGGAAGTGAATTTTTAAATGTTTGCCAAGGTGCAATTTTCTGATCAAGGAATGAGAGTGGTTTTGCAAATTTTTGGAAATAATCCAAGTAATTTTTGTCAGGACGGTATCTCTGATAAAAGCAGAATTTATTCGCGATTGCAATGGCGGGCGTCCCGCAAGTAGGAGCGCGCCTATGGACACAACATGACAGCCTTTATACCCTGTTTGCTCCCCCTTGCCTCCTCCCTCCCCTGTTTCCCCAGTGGCTGGGTACTCCAGGTTCACAATCTTATCAGAAGGTTTACATTTGCTATTTACTTGTTCATTTATTTGTTATCTGGTGCCAGTCAGTAGTCATCCTGTTGTTTCCAAGATGTCTTGGTGCTCTCCTTGTCCTACTGATATGGTGATTTTCTTTAAAGTCATCATCGTTGAACAAAGAGCACTGGGGGATGATGTCAGGCCTTCCCAATGTCTCTTCAGGCGCTTCCTCGGGCATGGCATGGCTTGTTCTCTGGTTTGCTCTCGTGCGGGATATTCTTGCAGTGTGTATGACAAAATATACATATATACACCTATATACAGAGTGTGTTCCTGGGAAGGTTCGTCTATAAGATAAGTGATGTAAACTTATCAGAGATCTTCCCCAAGTTAAGTAGAGGGACTCCCAAAAAGAACTATGATAGCAGAGATCATAAAATAAAAATAATACTACACAATTCTAATGCAGAAACAACATTTGATTCCCACAAAATGAAGGAGAGGATTTTGAGAGGACCGGAAGCATTAGCTGTCCTGTGAATGTCTCTGAGGTACAACACTGATTCTTTCATGGATAATTCCTGTGCAAGACATGTCTGCATAAATGATTAGAGGCAAGAACAGACCATCACACAAGGCAAATTGACTTAATTTGTTGACTTAAGTTGTAAGGATTTTGGAGCATGTCCTTTACTTTACTGTGACAGAAATGCCTGAGGGCCCAAAACTGAAGATGAAGTAAAAGGAAACTGAATTTATCAGGTCCAGAATTTTTTAACATAGAGGCTAGAAGAGACTGAAGGAATTAGAGACCAGTTCAAAAATATAGATCTCAGAGGTCAGTTCTTTTTTTCAGGGCCAGCTTCCACACTCAGTACGAATTAGTGATTTGGGTGAAAACTTTGCTCTTTGTGTCAGTGGCAATATTTTGGTGCATTTCAGCAGAGCTGACATTTCACCCTACATATTCTGGTAAATCTTTTATATAAATTTGACATTTTGATTGGTGTGTGTTGGGATCTTATTCACTTGACCACACTGAAATAAAGAGAAGATTTATTCTTACATTAAATACATTGAGCTGAAGTTTGGCATATAACTAAAAGGCTGTGCTTTTATAGCAGAATGTCCTTCTTATCAGATTTGTAGTGTTGCTGATGGCAGAACTCTCTGTGCATTACTTATTTTAGCATTATATTTTTAGATGCTGTTTGTTTCAAATCTAGGTCAGCTTGCTTGGCAAACTGGTTAGATGGATGTGCTG